CTGCAGGTGGTAGGACCTAGTTCCTGGCAGCATAGGCTTGTCTTCTTAGAGCCTTAGGTTGGAGACTCTAGGTAGATTTCGTCATGTATCCTGCCTTGACCAGTTCCTGCAGGTGAGCAGATGAAGTATGCTGCTTAGCTCAGCCTAGGACATGTGATGCCACTTATAGCCAGGGCCCTTTTAGTAGAAAACTGACTCCTAGTAGGGAGGGTAATGAGTTCTGGGCAGACAAGAAGAATACCTGTTGTAATTCATAAATGCTCTTGATTATGGGTTCAACTTTGTAGGTACTTATGGGAAACATACGCTCTGTGTTATGGAGATGAGTGTTCCAGGTGCAGAAATGGTAGGTCCAATATTTTGAAGAACTACATTGGCTTGTTGGTGTGTGCTAGCCATATAACAAATATGGATGCTTGTTTACTAAATGAGACACATATCTGTGAGATGCTTACTGAGTAGTAATCTAAACAAATAAATACAAAGGTGTGCCTAAGGTGCAGTGGGAGAGCCGTCCCACTTTGAGAAAGACTTTGAGAAAGTGGAAAACTTTCCTGAAAGAAGTTAATTGAGCCAAGAAGTATGGCTTCAGTGGGATAGGGTAAAGGGACTTCGGGGCAGAGCATATGTGAAGCACAGAGATGTAATATTGCCCTACCTCGAGTGGGAAACAAGTCCAGGTGGAGTAAAGAGCACCTGAGGAGCTGCAGGGGAGGAGGAGGCCCTGGGGTTGGAAGTCCTTGAATGCATTACAGAGGAGGTAGAACTTGATCTTGAAAGTGATGGTGAACCTTTTAGAACTTCCAGTGGTAACAAACAACCTGCTGTGGCACACATGCCATTGGTTCATCACCACTGCTATAGACAGTCATTGAAGGATTTTGAAGCTGAGCCTTTCAGCCTTGATGTGTCTATGGGATATCTGTGTGGATATGTCTGTCAGGTAGTTAACTATGCTGGTGCTTGGCAGAGAAGTGTTTTGCTGGAGTCAGTTATAAGTGTCAAAATCATGGATTTGGAGAGACCTAGAATAACTGCAGTGAAAGGCTGGGTACAGAACCTGGAGGAGCAATGATACTGAGAGTGAGAGAAGAGAAAGGATCCATGAAGGAGACTAAGGGTCAGCCAGAGACACACCAGAGGAGTGGGCCCTCCTTATCCACAGAGGGAACATCCCGTAAAACTGGCGGGTAGTACCCAACCCTAGATAGACTGCTTTTTCCAAGTACTGTACATGCCTATGATGAAATGTAATTTATAAATTAGGCACAGTAAGAAATTAGCAGCAGTAATTAATAATGAAATAGAACAGTTCTAACAGTACACTAATGAGAGTGTGAATGTGGTCTCAAAGATATGGTCCTGCACCCCACATTTACCTTGTGATGATGTCAGATGATACAATGGCTATGTGATGAGATGAAGTGAGCTAAATAACATAGGCATTGTGATGAAGCATTGGCCACTATGCCCTTTTTCATTGAACCTCGGAAAGCTGTTCTAAGCAGTGTGTACCATCCTGCTTCTTTCCCCGCAAGAGGTGAACCATCCTTTTGGTCATGGTTTCCATTCTGTATGCAGTACCTATTGTTGGTCACTAGTGTCCCTCTTGGTTATGAGGACCACTGCATGGTATTAGGGTACTTTTCCTTAAGTAATCTTCAGTGGTACACAACTTAGAACTTGGGAACTGTTTATTTTTGAACTTTTCCATTTGATATTTTCAGACTGAGATTGACCACAAGTAACTGAAATGACAGAAAGTAAAATTGAGGATAAGGGAGGATTGTTACAGATGGGGAGATTGTATTGAATCAGAGTCAACAAAAAGTAGAAGCTGAAACAACAAATAATAAGCTACCTTTTAAGAAACTGATACTATACAGGAAATATTAGGAGTTTATTTAGTTTAAGTTAAGAATTCCCAATCATTATCAATTTTGGGTTCATTGAGAAAAATTTTCGACAGTTCTTCCAGTGTAGGAATTTGTAATTTTATTTCCTGTTTTTTTTTTTTTTTTTTTTTTTTTTGAGACAAGATCTCGCTATGCTGTTCAGGCTTGCCTTGAGCTCACTTTGTAGCCCAGGCTGGTCTTGAACTTGCAACAATCCTCCTGCCTCGGCCTCCCGAGTGCTGGGATTGCAGGAGTGAGCCACCATGCTAGGCTGTATTTCCTGTTACATGTAAAGACAGAAAGGAGGGGATGGAAGTTTTTTTTGTTGGGTGCTGGTTGGAAGGAAAGAAGCTGTGGCGTAGACAAGTGGATATAATATAGCACAGTCATTGGGGGAGTACAAAGCCCATAGTAGAGTGTTAAGATCCAGTAAAGCTATTTTGTCATGGACCCAGAGTTAGTGATTGATTGCATAGTTGTAATTAAATTTACTTCATTTAGGATTTTCCTCCCTTCCTCCATTCCCCTTTCCTCCCTTCTACCCTTTTCCCTGTTTGCTTTCTACTCTCCCTTTGTCTTCCCTTTCTCTCTCTCTCTCTCCTTTCCTCCCTCGGTGCTAGGGATGACCCCAGGGCTATGCACATGCTAGGCAAGTGCTCTATCACTGATTATATCCCCAGTCCTATTTTGCAGGATTCCTATTCTGTTTTGTTCTCTTCTATTTTTTCTTTCTTCAATAAAACAAGACAGTTTATTTGGAAAAAGATTGAAAAGAAAGAAGATAGACATCTATGTTGGGAGGCATCAGAGTTGAGTATCCTCTATTCTATTTTGTACTCTGCCTCTCTTGGGTCAGCAATTGTCTGTCCCTGCTAAGTCACCATCTCTTTTTCTTTGTAGTTAAACTCTTCATATTTAAAAAAAATTATGGTGAAAAATGTATAACATAAAATTTACTATTTTAAATGTTAGGTGTGCAGTATAGTCATGTTTACTCTTTGCATCTTATTGTGCAATTTTTTCATCTTATAAAACTGAAACTATATTTCATCGAACAACTTCTCTTTTTTTCCCTCCTCTCAGTCCTTGGCAAACAGCATTCTTCTTTTTGTTATCATTCCTTGCAAAATTATCAATAATTCCCTAGTACCTTCTACTTACACCATATTTAGCTTTCCCCACTTGTTCCAAAAGTGACCTTCATTGCTGCTTTTTTTAATTTTATTTATTTATTTTTTTATTTTTTAAGATGGTCTTGCGATGGAGTTCCAACTGGCCTTGAGCTCACTTTGTAGCCCAGGTTAGTCTCGAACTCGCAACAATCCTCCTGCCTCAGCCTCCTGAGTGCTGGGATTACAGGCGCGCACCACCATGCCCGGCCCTTCATTGCTGCTTTAAGAAAAAAATTGATTTCAATCAAGGGCTGCCCATTGCATTTAGCTATCTCATCTTTTTTGAATGTAAACATGTCCCTCCTACCCTTCCACACTTTCATTTACCTATCTTCTCCTTTATGGTATTGACTTGCTAGCTCTGTTGAGATTTTATTACTTTTGTATTGCTGGTTTCCACCTCATGGTACACTGTGGGTACTTTCTTTGTCCCCTATATTTACTGGCAAGTGGGAGTTAGATCGAAAGGTGTGAGTAGAATTAGGTTAAACATTTTGGAAGAGTACTTCATATTGTTTCATGATAATAGGTATGTAGTGTCTAGTTTCACTATTCTACTTTATCGTGATTACCAAGGTAAGGTGGTAACAGTCTTTTTTTTTTTTTTGCTGTACTGGGAATTGAATTCACGACCTTGAGCTTGCCAGGCAGGCACTTACGCCACTGAGCTATATCCCCAGCCCCCAAGGTGGTAACAGTCTAAGTGATCATTTCTTTTTTGCATCTAATAAATAATCTGGGATGGTATTTTGATACCATTGGTTTCTATCAACTTTTCATGTAATGGAGCTTTAAACATTTCTTGATTTATTTCTGAGGTTTTGTTATCATTTATTTGTGAAACTAACAGCTGCAGGCTATAATCCCAGCTACCTGGGAGACTGAAGCAGGAGAATTGCAAATTCAGGGCTAACCTATGTAAATTAGCGAGCCTTTTTTTTTTTTTTTTTTGGTTTTTCTCCAGTACCGGGAAGCGAGCCTTTTTTTAGAAGAATAAGGAGTTAGAGATGTAGCACAGTGCTCCCTGGGATTCAGTTCCTAGGACTGCCCCCTCAAACCCAGACCACACCACACCACACCACACCACACCACACCACACCACACCACTATAAATCACAATGAATTTTTCAATTGTTTTTGTTCTCATTTTGTTTTCAGTCTTCCTTTGAATAGATGAAAAGACAACAGCCTAGACCAGACCTGGGAGTGGAGGACAGGTCAGCTGAGGGGGACTAGAGGTAGAAAGGAAGGTAGAGCCAGAGGAGGAGCCAGGCTTGGCTAATGGGGGGTGTCCTGCATATGAACACCTGGTCTAAGGGATGTTCCAGTTTTTAATTGTAAATAACTAAATAAAATAGGAACTTCTTTTTTCTGTTTTCATTGATAACACTTGATTAGCTATTTAATTGTGTTATGAAATGATAGTTTTATTTTCCATTGTTTTACATTTAGTAGCTCGCTGCCTGAATAAAGACAAGTTTTCCTGCATCATCTGGGGCTATTTTGTTACTTTGAAATAGTGTTTTACTCAGAAAAGGCCGAATAAATGCTGTGTTTTTTCTCTTTATACCAGTATTTTCAGAATGTAATAGTCCTTTTAATGGTGGCAAATGAAGTCTTTCTCTTTTTCTTTGGAATATCATATATATTATGAATAGTCCATTTAATTTAATTTTATTATTATTATTATTATTATTTTTTTTTTTTGCTTTTTGAGGCAGGGTTTTACTGTGCAGCTCAGGCTGGCCTTGAACTCACTTTGTAGTCCAAACTGGCCTCAAATACTCAGTGATCCTTCTGCTCCAGCCTCCTGAGTGTTGGGTTTACAAGCCTGTGCCACCACGCCCAGCTTGAATAGTCTATTTTAGATTTTTCACTTGAGATTGTAAGTTGGTATAAATTTGTTTTTATTATATAACATTTTATTTTACAGTAAGAAGACTTTCTGTTAGAGACAGGAGAGCTGTAGAGTTTGCAGATGTCAACCATGGCCTTTCTAAGCACATTGGTAGCATCAATGCCGGAAAGACGGTAAGTCTTAATAAAATCCTAGGGCATAGGGCTGGGGATTATAGCTCAGCGGTAGAGTGCTTGACTAGCATGTATGAGGCCCTGGGTTCAATCCCTAGTAACATGTACACACATATATACAAAATTGTAGGTGTAACTATTTTACACATAGATTTTCAAGCTTTCATTTATATATTTGAGCAATTAAAATAAAAGAAAAATTTCTCATGAAAAGGGAAATAATCACAGATTTTTGTTAGTAGAATTTCTAAAAGAGCTGCTGGTGGTATAAAATGTATACTCAAAGAATCTAAAGAACTGTGTTGTATGATTTTCCCACTTAACAAGGGTTCTATTTTCTCTAAAATGCCATTCTTTGCTCTTTCAGATACTACATGTCATTCATTAGCCATTCACAAATACTTGTGTGCCTGTTTTAGATATGGAAGAATATATTATTGTGATCCATGTTTTCAAGGAACACGGCTAGCTGTAGAGCTAAACTTATACAGATGAAAGTATCGTAGTTCCAGTGTGGCTGTCTGGGAGCTCACTCTCCCTGGGCTCTGTACAGGTGGTGCAGGAGAGCACAGGGCTTAACCCGTGATGTACAGTGCCTTTTCATGAACATGGAGATGAAGTTGGGTTGCATATTGTTACAGCTTCTCTGAGTCCTGTGGTACTATGACTGAGGAGGCAAACCAGGTTGAAAACATGTCCATTGGGAACAGGGATGTATATATATATA